CAAGAGTGTCATGAGTCATGTTGCATGTGAAGCATCATGGTATGCATTCTTGTGTCGATTGATCCCTCGATGGATTTGCAGAACCTCGTGTTCCCTTGTGGTGTGTGAGCGATGGTTATTTATTGATTCCTCGGTGAATCTGCAGAACCTCGTGTGCCCTTGTGGGGTGTGAGTGATGGTTATTTATTGATTCATCGGTGAATATGCAGAACCTCGTATGTTGCGATGGTTATTTATTGATTCCTCGGTGAATCTGTAGAACCTCGTGTGCCCATGTGGGGTGTGAGCGATGGTTATTTTGGTTCTTCAATTGAACCTGCTGAAATGAGTTGGTACCGCATTTGCATCTGCATAGAGTCATGTGTCGGTCTCTGTGAGTTGCATGTAGACATCTGTGCATGATGTATGGTGAATAAACATGAATGTATATATTTATGTATATTGTTGATAATTGGCATGAAAGGAAGGCTTGAATATACATGTATGTGTGAATATATGTGTATATGTATGCATGTTTATGAATTGATATAAACATTGTTGACGCACATTGTATATGCTTGGTGCTCTATTTGTAAATAGTTATTCGTGAATACATTGCGATGTACGGTGTAGTGAGATGAGTTGCAGTGAGAATGCGGAAGACGTTTTTGGACGTTATATATATATATATATATATATATATTATATATATATATATATATATATATATATATATATATATATATATATATATATATATATATATATATATATATATATATATATATGTATGTATATATATATATATATATATATATATATATATATATATATATATATATTATATATATATATGTATATATATATATATATATATATATATATATATATATATATATTATATATATATATATATATATATATATATATATATATATATATATATATATATATATATATATATATATATATATATATATATATATATATATATATATATATATATATATATATATATATATATATATATATATATTTATGTGCATTATGTATTATGATATTGTTTCTCACCCTTCTGCTGTTTTATAATGCTCTATGAGGCATTGTAGATTAGATTGCTGGAGTCTTTGTGAAGCGAGTCTTCATTTCTTTTGGTCAGATAGCTCTGATATGTAACACTGGGTAGTTAGGAATTATTTTGATTCTTTTGTGATACATCTGTGTATGTATCTGCTGATGAACATTTTGTAAACTCAACCGATGAATTGAATTGATCTGAACGATGTATATGATGCTTATGTTAATGAAGTGATTTCAATGTTTAGATGTTTCCGCTTTATTCTAAATGTTGATGTGTGGGTTTTAAGCGCTACATTTTGTTTTTAGTTGAGATTTACCCCTTTTGTTACATATCTTCGTGAGCTGGTATTATTTATGTTTCGTTTCGATGATAATGTGATGCGCCTCTTTTATACCATGTTATAATTATACTTTGATAGAATTTTTTTTCATTAAGTGCCTAAATGATTTAATTGTTTATTTGGGGGTATAGAAAGGGGGTGTTACACGAGACACCTCAGCCACAACGTACATGCCAATCAAGGGGTCAAGGTATAAATTTAAAATACCTTAGAGAACATTAAAAAAGTATCACATTAGACAACGAATCTACCAAGTATGAAAATATAATTAAAACTCAGTGTTATATTATGATCTTGTTTGGATATTTTTTTATTTTTAGAAAGTATTGGAAATACTGTAAATATTATGTATTTTTCGTTGTTACACAACATTCATAAAGTATGCACTTATAGTTGGGGTTCAGCTATCTTGGTCCATCTATATAGTGCATTGTGTAAAAATTATTAAATAAAAAAAATACTTGTACGTTTTATGGTTGCACCTTTCTACTGCAAGCATGGGGTTGGTCTAGAATGCTGACACTCGCTCTGATCAACCTGAATCCCTACACAAACAAGTAAGTTTATTTTAAAATATCAAACATGTATACTTTGATGAAACGTTTATTTGTAACTAATTTATTTATCTCACTTTTTCTAGGTGGTCAATTATGGGAATGACTTACCAACGCTATTCCAAAAACTCAATAATCGTGTACCGCAATCTTTTAGACCACATTGGGTCGAACGATGTATATTATTCCTACACTAATGAAAATTTGACTATTAAATTAACACACTACAACTTTTCTCATTAAATATTTTGATTATGCAGTTTTTCTGGAGGTCGTATGTGGGTTTCGACCATCATCCTAACCCCGATGATCTTACAGTATGGACAGCAAAAACGTCGATCATTCGGTTCACTACAGTGGAGATGCACCAAAGTGATAGAGTGAAATTGAAGTTCGACATGCTACAAGATATTTCATTCGCTTTGACGTCTTTGGGAGACTGACATCAATTGAGAGTGGATGTACAATGGGGTGTAGATGATTGGAGAGGCTTTGCTAAAGAGACGTGTCGACATTGGAAGAATCGAAGTCGCTACATCTTAAACGATTCTGTCGTGGAAGGGGCTAGACCAATTCATCAATATATGATTTGGTTTAGGTTGGTTACAACACAACAATTTGTGTCTGAGCCGACATATTTGATAGATCTGCGCTAACGTGATTTATCTTCATACGCACAACAACAAACATCTGCCCAACAACCATCACCGCAGCACACCCAAAAGCAATATATACACACTTAATCAAACTTCCAAACTCGCAGCCCATTCATGCCGCCCACCCAATCACAACAACAAAAGTATGACCCTTACCGCCAACATCCATACACCGACACCATATCTACCTATAGCCCTGATGACTCTTTCGACTCATCCCAACCCACCATAGTCCCCCACAAATGAACACACAATTGTCCTACCACCAAAACACCCAACCAATATTTGACTACCTTACCCCCACAGCAGCCATTGCATCGCTTCTAAAACTATTCAATGTACCAACTCGGCCAACCATATTGTCCGCACCTAACCCAACCACTGCGTCCCAACTTTGAAAGCATGGGCATGAAACTGAATTACGGAAGCGCCGTTGGCAGCAACCCCCTAGCTATTGGGGACAAATGATTGAAAATTTCTCAAATACGCCAGAACCCTCTCAACAAATACCTTTTATGTAGGGCAATACGCAAAGTCCATAAACAGCTCAACAAAATCATGGTAGACCTCGGAGGCACGCTAATGCGACGGGATGTGGAACTGTGGGACGTTTTGATCGGGCCGATCATTGATTTTTTTCATTTTTTTATAAACTTTAATGTATTTTTATAATATTCATAATTATTTCTTATTTGTTTTTTATTTTTTCCTAATATATTTACCTATTTACATGACATTTTTTTATTAAAACAAATAAATAAATAAAAATTAAGGGAGGATGCGCCATATGAAATGACGCATGCACTCCAAAATTAGGACAAAGGTTTTGTGTAAGGTCTAGGTGTCATTTGATTTGGCTATACTGGTGTGTATGTTCCAAATCAAATGGGGCATGAACTTTAACTTAATACATATGTTCCAAATGATATGACGATTGTATTCTTTCTTCATCTGAAACTACGTCACTTTGATAATTAATTTGAAAAACATATGATTTTTGTATTAAAATTAAATAAATAAGTTATTTAAAAAAAATAACTTAAATTATATGTATGTTTATCTTCTTTGACAAATTTATGTCTCAATAATAATAATAATAATAATAATAATAATAATAATAATAATAATAATAATAATAATAATAATAATAATAATAATAATATTTAAAAAAAGGTAAAAATGTTTTAATCCCTATAAATATTTTAATCTCAATAAATATTTTACATTTTATTTTTAGTTCCTATAAAAAAAAAGACATATTTTGGTCCCTACAAAAATTGTATACATGCGGTTTCAGTTCTTTCTTATTTTCTAAAATTTTAAAAACTATTTAATTATCCCTAAAATTATAAATTTTTGAATAATTTTTTTCCCACATGTTCAGATTACTATAAAATATTTTTTTTACCAAATTATATAATTTTTTAAAATAAAAAAATTAAATATAAATTTTTTAAATTTCAAAAGATAATAATAAAAGTAATAAAAATTTTGATTTATAAATCAAATTTTGAGTTTTTTTTCGAAAATTTTTTTATAACGTTTTAAACATATCTGCAAAATAATCATTAAAAAATATACATTAATCTAACAGTAAAGACTGAAACTACGAACATAATCATTTTATAATGATAAAAAATAACGCTATTTTTTTTATAAAAATTAAAAACAAAATTTAATAATTTTATAAGGATCAAAAGTATATTTAATTCTTTAAAAAAATATCAAATGTTACACGTTACATCAAAATCTTTTTCACACTATCGTTGTAATGTAAGTTGTTCAGTCACAAAAAAATTGTCATGCAGTGTGCAACATCATCATCTCTTCGAGAAAATTGACTTGAGAGAAATAGATATATCTGTATTCCTCGTGATTGTACCAAATTCTGATATTAATAATGCATTTTATAATAAATGTCACTTTTGAAATATATGTTTCAATTTATCTATTTCTTTATAATATCAATTCAACATTTTTTATATAATTCTATTCTTACTTGATGTGTTTCAATTCACTTTACTATATAACCAATTATTATTTATAAAAATATTTTAGTAAATAAAACACATTTTATCATTTAAATCAGCCAAATTAGTAATAATTACTTAAAAAGTGTGCAAATTTAAAAAACTAGATATTAAATATGACGGAAAGAGTACTAGTTAGTTATAAAAAATCATTTAAACACTCAATCAATACATATACAACATATCTTTTCAATACATATTTATTTTATTGTAGATACCTTACGAAGCTGACATTCTAGAAGTGGTGCAATTTCAAACATATAAGTTGCACGAATCAATACATTTATTCTTATGAATAGAAATTTAAACTTTCAACCATCTTTATTTATGTATATAAATCTGTGGGATCTATTATTCAATTCAAGTCTTGCAAGCTGGAAGAGGAGAACCACACAAACACTTGTTATGAGCATAACAATACTCATCAAACCTTCTCAAGTTGTCACCTTGTGGAATCTGACCACATAAATTATTGTAGCTCACGTTGAAATTATGCAGAAATTTCAGTCCCGTCAGTGCCTCCGGCAGCGTACCGTAGATTTTGTTGTTCCTTAAATCCAGATAATTCAAATTCGCTGACAACCCAACTTTCCCAATATCAAACGCCAGCGAGTTCGTCGCCAGCACTATCTTCTGAGTGTTTTTGTTCGAACCAAACAACACTGAAGCATCACCCGCTAATGAGTTCCGTGATAAGTCCACAAACGAAAGGTCCAGTTTCGCCAGAGATGCTGGGATTGTCCCGGAGAGACTGTTTTGGGACAGAGTTAGCACTGTAAATGAATCCGGAAAAGACCCGTAGGACTCTGGTATAGGGCCGGAGAGTTGGTTACCGTCGAAGGTGATTCCGATAAGGTTAGGGAGAGAGGAGAGAGTGTCGGGGAGGGGACCGCTGAGTTTGTTGTAGGAGAAGTCCAGGGTTAAGAGGCTTTTGATCTGTGAGAGGGTGTTGGGTATCACGCCGGTGAGGCTGTTGTGGCTGAGGTAGAGATACCGGAGCTTGGTGAGGCTGGAGATTGAAGGTGGGATAGAACCGACGAGGTTTGGTATGCGGGAGAGAGATAGGTAGAAGAGGAAAGGGAGATTTGTGATGGATGGTGGAATGGAGACAGGTTGAGGGAGGTCGAGGTCGGAGAGATCGAGGTCGTTGACGCGGAAGGTTTGTGTGTCGGTGTCGCATGAGACACCGGACCATGTGCCGTTACAACAGTCGGTGGTTGGATCCCATGAAGAGAGTTTGGTTGGGTTTCCGAATTCTTTCTTGATTTGGAGAAGGGCTTTTTTGTCATCTGGGTTGCATTTTTCTGAGAGTGAAGGGACCAAGAGATTTGCGGTTAGGATTACAAGGAGAAGTAGCATGCATGAGGGAAAGTTCTGCATGGTTAAAGATATCATCTTGTTATGTTTCTTTGTTTCTGTTGCTTGTAGATGGGATATATATAGGTTTATGTGTTGGATGAGGATAAGATCTTGCATATTGAATACTAATAGTCTTTGTTTTTTTTGCAAGGCATGAAAATTGTCTTTGTGACAGCTCTCATTTGAAAAGTATTTCATTTTTTTTGTCAAATATTGTTGGCTAGATTGCATTTCATTTTAATTTTTGTCAAATATTGTTGGCTAGTTTGCAATAAACTGATAAGGTTACACACTAATAATAAATATGATGGGAGGGAGCTTCTGGTGTAGCAGGCTGCTTGCTGTCTATTATTTGTTTCTTGTTAGCAGATTGAGACTTGTTGTAGTGGTACTTTTGTAATCTTCAGCTAGCAATTTTTATGCTTTTATGCTAGCAAGTTTTAATGTTATAATTTCTCTCTGTCTTAAAAAAAAGAAAACAAATATGATGAGAACTGTATGAAACCCTCCTAGTTTTGTGCGGTATGTTACTGTAGTAGAGTTCAGGTTATTTTAGTTACTAATAAATATGAAAATTTTACGGTAATTGTTATATGTATTATTCGATTCATTTACTCAATTTTTTATATTTTTTAATTTCTATGAATTAATTTCTTAACCTTTGTGTATTTTTTAAATTAATAGTTATTGTTAGAAATTGTTTAGATGATAGTTGGTAGAAGATAGTTTTAGAGAGTAGTTTAGAAAGAAGGTTTTTTGATTAATTTCTTGGATGATTGTTTACAATGTAGCAAATGCCTATTTATAGGCTCAAGTCACCAACCTTTCAATAGTGGTGAATATTCTAGAGTTCTCATGATAGGTTACTATCATGATAAATCTAGATTTTTCTATCTTTGCCATATACTTATATATCTAGATTATTCTACCATATTCATACACCTTATAGTTTCTAGGATGTTCTATATTTTGTTACATATTATATTTAAGAACTCTCTAGAAATTTGTAGCAAATTTAACACTCCTCCTTGATACAAATTTCTTTGACTCCAAGCATAGCTCGTAGCTCTTCAAATCTTGGTCTCGGCAACGCCTTCGTGAATATGTCTGCAATTTGATCTTCTGTTCTACAGTAGTCGAGTTTGATCTCTTTAGTTGCTTCAGCTTCTCTTATAAAGTGATACTTGATTGCTATATGTTTTGTTCTACTGTGATGCACTGGATTCTTTGCCATTGCAATTGCTGATTTGTTGTCGCAATTGATTTTAGTTGGCTGATCCTGGATTTCTCCCATGTCTTCAAGTATCCTACGAAGCCATATAGCCTGACTCGTTGCTTCAGCAGCTGCCACGTACTCTGCTTCTGCTGTGGATTGTGCAACCGTAGCTTGCTTCTTCGACGCCCAAGAGAAAATTCCTGATCCGAGTGAGAAAGCATAACCAGAGGTGCTCTTCATGTCATCTACCGAACCTGCCCAATCACTATCGGTGTAGCTAAGTAATCCTGAGTTAGTTTCGGTAGAGTACCATATACCTAACTCTTTTGTTCCTTGTAGATATCTCAAAATTCTTTTTCCCGCTCCAAAGTGTATTTGACTTGGACTTTGCATGAATCTTGATAGAAGACTTGTAGCATACATTATGTCTGGCCGCGTAGCTGTCAAATATAGGAGGCTTCCAATTAAACTTCGATATTTGGATGCATCAGCTTCTGGTGCTCCATCATTCTTTTGTAGTTTCTCATTTGTTATGAGTGGGGTAGCGACAGGTTTGCAACCGTACATCTTGAATTTCTGAAGTAAGCCTTCTGTGTATTTCTTTTGTGAGATGAATATCCCTTCATTTCTTTGGCTTACCTCTATACCGAGGAAGTAACTCATCAAACCAAGGTCGGTCATCTCAAAGGTCTTCATCATGTCTTCTTTGAACTCCTTAACATCTTAGTATTGTTTCCCGTGTAGATAAGGTCATCTACATATAGAGAGAGTAAGAGAGTGTACTGACCTTGAGACTTGATGTATAGTGTGGGCTCACTCTTGCTTCTCTTAAATCCTTGATCCATGAAATATTGATCGATTCTGCTATACCATGCTCGAGGAGCTTGCTTCAAACCGTATAGTGCTTTTCTTAGTCTTAAAACTTTGCTCTCTTCGCCTTCAGATATGAATCCTTGTGGCTGCTCCATATAGATCTCTTCTTCAAGTACACCATTGAGGAAGGCAGATTTGACATCCAGTTGATGTATACTCCATCCTTTTTGTGCCGCAAGAGCTATTAGAGCTCTAATGGTATCAAGACGAGCTACTGGTGTAAATGTCTCATTGTAGTCAATCCCAGGTTGTTGTGAGTAACCCTTAGCTACTAGTCTCGCCTTATGTTTCTGTATGGTGCCATCAGGATTGAGCTTTGTCTTATAGACCCACTTAACCCCAATGATATCTTTTCCATGGGGACGATTTACTAACTCCCATGTGTTATTTTTCTCGATCATCTTTATCTCTTCTTCCATTGCCTTGACCCATACTTCATGCTTTAATGCTTCTTCAAAGCTTCCAGGTTCGAGTATGGCCATGTTGCAGGTTTCATATATGTCTCTCAAAGATCTTACTCATCTTGGAGTAGACTCTGGTGATGATAGTTCTTGAGCTTGTTGTGGTGGTGGAGGTGAAGAAGGTTCACCTAGGACTTCTTCCTCAGCTTCTTCTTGAGGTAGTTGAGTGGGTATAAGAGCATTCTTCTCCACTTTTTCTTCATCCCAATTCCAAGAAGCATTCTCATCAACTTCAACATCTCGATTGATGATGAGTTTTTTTGTTTGCAAGTTATATACACGATAGCCTTTAGATATTGTACTATACCCCAAGAAGATACCTCGTATAGTCTTGTCTTCAAGCTTATGCCTCTTCACGTCTGGAATATGAATGTAGCATATAGATCCAAAGATCCTTAGGTGCTTTGCTAATGGCTTCTTCCCGTTCCAAGCCTCAATTGGAGTCTTATCTTGTACAAATTTAGTTGGACATCTGTTGAGTAAGTAAACAGCAGTGTAGACTGCTTCAGCCCAGAATGTGTTAGGTAGTCGCTTCTCTTTGAGCATCGATCTAGCCATCTCCATAACTGTGCGATTCTTTCTCTCAGACACACCATTTTGCTGAGGAGAATATGCGACTGTAAGTTGTCGCTCTATGCCCTCATCCTCACAAAATCTATCAAACTCGCGGGATGTGTACTCTTTGCCGCGATCACTTCTTAGTACTTTTATCCGCTTTCCACTTTGATTTTCAACAAGGGCCTTGAACCTTTTGAATACTCTAAAAACTTCTGATTTTTCTTTCAAGAAATAGACCCATGTCATTCTAGAGAAGTCATCAATGAAGAGTATGAAATACCTGTTGTTCTCGTGTGATGGCGTCCTCATCGGTCCACAGACGTCAGTATGTATCAGCTCCAACAGATATTTTGCTCTCCATGCTCCGCTTGTTGAGAATGGAAATCGGTGTTGCTTACCAAGGAGACATCCTTCACACACTTCATTGTTATCCTTTATGCTTGGAAGATCTCTCATCATGTTCTTATCATGTAACAACTTCAAGGCATGTGTGTTGAAGTGGCCAAACCTTCGATGCCAAAGCCATGAATCATCAACTTGTACCTTCATGGCAATGTTAGTTGTATATTTTAAATTTAGCGAGAAGCTTCTATTGCTCTTATTCATCTTCACTTCGGCTATCTCGACCCTTTTATTCTTGTTGTCTAAGATTTTGCATACACCTCCTTCAAAGTGAAGTGTGTAGCCTCTCTCCATCATTTGCCCAATGCTTAGAAGATTTTCTTTTAGGCTGGGAACTAGTAAGACATCATGGATGAGTCGCGTACCTTTATCTGTCTCTACCACGACGGTGCCTTTTCCTTTTGACTCAACCACACTTCCATTTCCTAGTCGAACTTTGACTTTGACTGACTCATCAATGCTTTTGAAATAGTCTCATCCTTGGCCATGTGATTGCTACATCCACTATCCAAGTACCAACTTCCTCCTTTTTCTTTGATTGATTCTTGAGTGGCATAGAACATACATTGTTCTTGATCATGCTCCTCTGCGATATTAGCTTGATGCCTATTTTTGTTGCGACAGTGTTTCTCTATGTGCCCGAATTTCTTGCAATGATTGCATTGTGGCATATTACGGTACCAACAACTTTTCTCCGCGTGGCCTAGTCGTTTGCATATATTGCATGGAATATTTTTATCTGGATTGTTCTTTTGGAAATTTCTAGGAACTTCTCTTCTTTTGGAAGTTTCACCATAATTTTTCTTTCCTCCATTTTCTTTATTTTGGGACTTAAATTTGAGCTTTGACTGAAAGGCATTTTCAAGTGTATCTTTTTTATGCCTATGTAGTCTTTGCTCATATGCTTCAAGAGAGCCCACTAGTTCTGTCACTGATAGAGTAGATAGATCTTTGGTTTCCTCTATTGTTGTCACGATTGGGTCAAATTTTGGGGGCATAGTAATTAGAATTTTCTCAACAATTTTCTTGTCAAGAATATCCTCCCCAAAAGCTCTCATTTGATTAACTATTTCTTTAACTTTAGAATAGTAATCTTTAACTGTCTCAGACTCCTTCATCTTCAATAGTTCAAAATCTCTTCTTAGAGATTGAAGTTTGACAACACGTACCTTGTCATTTCCTTGAAACTCCTCCTGCAACGTCTTCCACGCTTCTTTTGCAGTCTTAGCTCCCATAATTCTTGGAAAAATTGCATCAGTCACCGCTTGTTGCAAGGTGAACAATGCCTTTGAATTTTTCTGTTTATTTTTCTTCAACTCTTTTTCTTGAGCTGCATTTAGAGCTGAAGTATCTATGGGAGCGATGAAGCCTTCTTCTACTATGTCCCATAAATCTTGAGATGAAAAATATGTCTCCATTTTAACACGCCAGAAATCATAATTTTCACCATTGAAAATAGGGACACAAATAGTTGATGATTGAGTAGTGTTATCCATGGCTTAGAAAAAATATTGTAGTGGGTTAAT